GAAACTTATGCCTATAGCTTTAGCTTATTTGTAGTAAAGAAACCATTGGTTGCTGAGTACTTCAAATATTTTACAAATTGACTCTTGGTTTTGCGTGATTCGTTTAGAAAAGTAAATGTTGTTACTGGAAATTACATCGAAAACACTATACTGTATTATAGTATATCGAATAAACGCCATTGAAATGTGGTAAAGTGATATTTGTCCTTGAAATTATAAATGGCGTAGAGTCAAATCTTGGGGTGGTTTGGTTGCCTTGAGGTTACAATTTTAAAAAATTCAGAAAAAGTCTCTATGCCTATTTGCAATTTAATTTTGGCCTATTTGTCCTTTTGGCGTCAACTCCAATTTCAAATTGTATCACGTACACACTATTTTAATAATCATACCAAAAAGAAATTTCAATAACCAACAATGTTGTCTATTGACTTTGAAAATTTAGAAGTTTCCACTTACCCATTTCTAGAAGTGGTAAATGGCACTGTAATTCAAAGTCTTCGTTCATTTACATCACAATAATATATGCCAAAGAAGACAAAAACATATCACTAATTACGTGATAATCAGATTTCATAACATAAAAGGACATGTATTTTAGACATGTAGTATACAATAAGAAAAGAGTAGGTTGACACAAAAAGTGGCTCAGTCGTCTTGTTGTACATTCAAGAACAAATAGAGATAATATAAACAAGATCTTGCAGTAGGTGACTGACTTCATTGAAGTGAATTCACATTTTGGTAAAAAGAGCTGTTGTCATTGCGTGTACATATTGTACTTCACTGTTTTATTATTTTATATCCACAGTTACATTTTTATTTTCTACAATTTCACTGTATAAACCGATTACGAGATGTAATTATATCACATGGAATACGATCACACAAAAATCAAACAAACACTCTCAATCCAAGATACCAAACTCGAGATTCGAAAAGAAAGTTAAATTCCATTTATAATCACATTCATGCTAAGAAAATGTTTGTATAAGCTTCATGTTTTATATTTGCCGATTATAATTAACGAGGTAGTTGATTAAAAAAAAAAAAAAGAACTAGCGAGGAAAAGAACACACAAACCATTAACACATTACATGATTTGGAAAATTTTAACCATTACTTAGTCTTACACCTTACTACATACAACATCCGATTTAATAAACTTAATGTGAGCACTAACGTACCAAACCGAAATCCGGTTCACACCGAAGATGAACATGGAAAAGCTGACAAAACCGGTTAAAAACTAGACCCAAGTATGGACAACTTGGAGAGACTACCGACCAGGGCACAAGAAGGCCAAATTTAGGATT